TTTTTGCCGAGCCTCAAGTCACACCAATCTTTAGCTGGCATTGCTCTTGGTCTGATGGGGCTGAAGAACGCAGCAACAATCTTTAGCTGGCATTGCTCGCGTCTTAATCGGCTTCCTCTATACACTATTAGAAGTATTGGCCTAACTCACTTCCAAAAGCTACCTCAAGGGAGGAGGATTGCCACACACTTATATATTGTCCAAGAATTTTTAACCTTAGCGATGTGGGACTTTAATACGCCCTCACGTTCAGGACTGGACATCTGAAACGTTGAGTTTGTGGGACTAGACATCCACGGGTAATCCACAATCAAACTAAGGCCCGTTCTGATACCATATTAGAAATATGGGCCTAACTCACTCCCAAAAACTAGTTCAAGGGAGGATGATTACCACACACTTATATACTCTTCCAAATCCGGAAAGATGCCCCGACTCGACCAAAAACAGTGGTGAATTGGCATATTTGGGCTAGATCTAATCCTAACGTGTAAAGTAAATAAGACTTAAGAGTTTTTTTTTAATCGATTTTCGGTTTCTCTTCATCCGCGGAACCTAGCCCATAAACGAATTCACTATAGAACAAGAAAGCAATACACAATTGCAAACAAATAACCAAACAAAGACGTTTTGATCTACTGCTCTTTTCTATAACATGGATTCACACCTTAGGATCGTCTTGATCTCTTAGTGTGGGCTTTCCAAGCCCATGTCCAACTCTCTCCATTAGTATGATATTGTTCGCTTTGTGCCCAGAGGCAAAGCCCGCACAGATTTGTTCTTGGGCTTCTTCCCAAAAGACCTCATACTAAGTAGAGTTGGTCATCTCTTATATATTAGACAATTCTTGTCTAAACTTCCGATGTAGGACTTGGATTGATATCCCAACAATCCTCTCCTCAAACCAAGGACCACATAGACTTTGTGTCCTCCCACCTCCAGCGAAACTTGGCACACATCTTGTACCTTTGTAATCACCAACGGAACCCGCCGCCTAACTTTCCGCTTAGTTAGGAAGACTTTCGACACAAGGCATCGGCACCCCTTAATCGCGAGGTCATCTTGAGGGCGCTTCTCCCACAATGAACATGCAGCCCACACCCACTCCTCCAGGTCCTCTTTTTCTTAACCTTGCTCTGATACCAATTGTGGGCTTTCCAAGCCCATATGCAAAGCCCGCACAGATTTTTTTTTGGTTCCTTCTCAAAATGTCTCATACTAAGTAGAGTTGGACATCTCTTATATATTAGACAATTATTGTCTAAACTTCCGATGTGGGACTTGGATTGATATCCCAACACTTACCAACCACCAACATGTAAATCTTGTTCTTGTGATGTCTTTTGGTGGACAATGCCACACACACATGTGTTCCTCTCTCAGTAATATCCTACGAGTGTAAGTATTTTTGTCTAGGCCACTAGATATTTATAACTACGTCTTTAAACCCTAATGACTCCACAAGTCACATGGGCTTCAAGGCCCGCATATGATCTAGTATCTCTTAACACATCAGCTCAAGCCCATGTCAAGTCTTCTGCTTCCTGATCTGAGTGCAGCGAGTCGATCAACTCAACAAATCTTCTGACCGTCTATATAGACATCATATTGTTGCACTTCTGGGTCTATCTATTACTAGAACGGTTTGGGAGTGTTATAACAAATGC